CTATATTCTTTTTTCGTTCTTGATTATTAATTAAATTTATTATCTCTTTTGGGATTACAAGAATTTCACATTTTTCGTTTTATTATCTCTTTTAGGAATATAACTTATTATCTCTTTTGGGTTTACTCAGTTTATTATCTCTTTTGAGGCCAAGCGAATCAATCGGAGCAATCATAAAATAATGTAAAGCGCTTCTCTCTGATATTTGTAAAAGAGAAAAAGTATATAAAATCTAACCATTTTAGTTATATAATGATTGAACGCTTATTACAATAATTTTAGCGCGACTTCTCAAAGAGATACAAATGTTTTATTAACTCTCTATATAGCACATGAAAGAAACATTATCTGTGCTAATTAAGGCTTATACTCAAACTCCGTACACTCAGTCGCACTCATCCACTCACCAACTTTGACCTCAATTTAAAATTAATTATAAGTGTGCGGGGTTCGAAAAGTAACGCTAATCACTTATTTATAATACGTATATTCTACTTAGCATTACGTGGTAGTAGTAGGATTCCAAACAAGTAGCAACAATGATTTTTCACTGCCGTTACCATAGCTATGGTAACGGCAGTGAAAAATCATTGTTGCTAATTGTTTGAAATCCTACTACCACGTAATCGGGCTAAGTAGAATATACGTATTACTAATTAATTAACACAATTCATGTTTCTTTGATGTTATATATAAGTGTTAAAAAAAGGGGATATAATAGAAAAAAAATAAATAGACTAAAATGGAGAGTAAAAGATAGATTTTATATACTTTTTCTCTTATAAAAACGTCATTTTATTTAACGAAAATTAATTCTTCAATTTTTGATTAGTTGAATTATATTTTTATTCCAGAAAGATCTCTTGTTATTGTGGAGAAGACATTCAGTTCATGTGTATGTGAATTTTAATGAACTTTCCAAAAGTCCCTTGAAAGTAGAAATGATTATCTTGTCAAGTTCGTGTTCTCGATGTATTAATTTTTTATTGTTTTTGGTTACTTTTGGGCTTGATTTGAATATAAAAAGATATATTCGTCTTCACCTTTATAAGAATGACAGCCCATCTGAAATATAGGGTGAAATACTATAAACTGTTGAGTTTCAAATTACTCAATCGTAATTAAATATTCAGTGTGTAGAATTAAACATAGATTTTATTTGTTTTTATTGAAACCATCTTTATTTTCTGTTGTTCAGATAAGAAAGAGGTGTGTTAAATTATGCTGCATTCTACTGTTTAAAAAATTAGAAATTGTCTTTTGCTAAACGGATGCATTAAAAGCCAAAATAACTATGTGGTCTATTCTCGCCTTTATTTTCTGTACTTTAATTGTCATTTTTAACAAACGAGAAAAAAAGTACAATAGAAAACATCTAAAGTAAGGAATTAGTGAAATTAATTTCTCACTCGCTTTCACCGATTATTATTCAAAACAAGGACAAGTAAAAATAAAATATAGATAGAAGTTATTTACTAAAAATTAAGAAGAAATAAGAAGAGAAAATGCGTAGTTGAAGATCTGATTCATACAAACATACAATAAACACATATGTAGAAATGAACAGCTTATAACCTCAATCTTTATTCTGACGACCTACTTTAATTCAGTTAACTCTTCCATATTGCACGACTGGATATTGTAAACGAGTTTTGTATCTTCTATCTATCTATATAGCAGAAAAAAGAAAAAAAGTCAAAGATAATTACTTAAAAAATTGTTTAGTGCTTTAATTTACTTTAATAATCGTTCATTAAATTCTCTTCTTGTAATGTATCCATTCTTATCCATATCAAGATAGTCAAAGATTTGTTCTAAATTATTGTCGAATAATGCTAAGAGTAATTCGGATGATGCATTTTCTTTCGTCTTCTGTATATCTGGTAAATCTGTTGCTAAACGTCCAAATCGTGGTCGTCCAACAATCGAATAGTACTCGTGAACCTAAATCAAAATTATCAAATATTTTTTTCAATTCTCCATATTTGCAAATAAAAAAGCAGACTTTTTTTCTGTTTTTTAGTGAAAAAGTTAATACATTAGCTTATAGTCAAGAAAACTTAGAAATCACATACTAAATTATATCAGTTGTCTCTGATAATTAATCTTTATACAAAATTCTTCTACACTTACCTTTTGTAAATATTCCTTAAGTTGTTGTCGTGAATAAAATCTATGTGGACGTGCTGGTGGAGGTGGAACATTCGAAAATGGTTCCATTGATTGTGTGATAGTCATCAACAATAATATTACAAATAATATAAGAGTTAAATTTGATATTAATGAATACATGATTGTTAATTGACAAGTAATCGAGGAGATGAACGATGAGACCAGACTTTTTCAAATGTTCGCAACAAAAAGATTCGAGTATTTATATAATGGAAAAAATAGTAGTCATATTAAGGTTCTATTTTTATTTTTTTTCTGTTCTTTTTTGAACTACTTTACTTTTTTTCTTTACGCGTTCATAAGTATTTAAAATGACGTATGTTATTAATCAATTTTATTTGTTCAATTGTTAATTAAACTAATTTATACCTGTTTTACTAGTGATTATTTTCCACTAATAATTAAAGCAGTTAATTATCATACTGACATCAGATCAAAAAAAGAGGTTTTGTATTTGAAAATTTAATAATGAATTGTTCTCAGTAAATCACAAAATTTGTGAAAATTTTTGCTAAATATAATATAGGGTCTTTATCATCGTATTTTATGAAAAATTCTATTTATCTAGTATATAATATATGAAGATGCATGCGTTTTTTTATGAGAAAGTCGTTTTTAACTGTATAAATTTCAAAAAAATTAATAGGAAATATACGTAAATGTTTCTGGATGTGAAGTTTTAAGAAAAATTAGGTAAAAGATCTCGGTTACGAAAACTAAATATTTTTTATGACGAAATCATTGATTAGATCACGAGAAAAAAATTTAATTAAGCTTATGCTAAGATGAATATGCTTTACATCTCGCAATACTTTTGGGTGCATAAATTGTCTTTATTCTCCATCCAATTTATACTAGTTTTCTAGTAAATATCCAGTTTCATGCATTTAACAAAAAACTGGAACTTGTGTTACCAATCTTTTGGCAAATCTGATGCCATATTGTCTTCTGTATCAATTGGAGAAATTACTAATCAATTTTTGCGAGACATTTCAGTATTACAGCGTAACGTTTAGTAAAAATGTGTGTGCTAATATAAAGAAGTACATAGATCGTATTTACATTTTTAGTTAATAAATATGTTAATAATATTCTTTTCAAACTCTGACTACACTTGTACGAACTGGATCGCTGCATCATTTCACGATATGTACAATTTTCGTGATCTAAACCATGTTTTCTGATCATACAGATGAACCAAGATATGTTACATGCTTTTTCCCATGATGTTTTTCATGCTTTTGGCATAAACAGATTTAGTTTTCGTAATCAAGATCTTTTGCATGTTTTTTATCGAAATTTTGTCAACCAGGATCAAAAACATGTTATTTTCATGATCATTTCTCATTTTGTTCAATGTTTTTTTTTTATGTTGAATAACTGTATATTCAAGGACATAGAAATTTAGAGTGAAGTATCTGAAAACTTTGATAGAATTAATTGATAAACATGTTTCAAATTTTTTATTTTCTTAGAATATGTTTTTCCGTACTACTATACTTTGTTTTAAATTTTTCATATTAACATAAATGCTCTTGATGATTAACGGTTTTGCGTAGTAAAGTGTCTAAAATAGGTAAGTATCAAAACTGAGAAAAACGTAATTATTTTCTGTAGTCAAAGATAATCTTACTAATATAGTGGGTAGATAAATCTGACAGTTTAGTCACCTTAGATACGCATCAGGTACGAACCAAGTTATTTCCGACTGTTATCCAGAAAAGTTGTTATAATGTGGTTATTAAGAATCGTGCAGACTAACGGTAGATCCTATTTTGTAGACAAATGGTTGGTCTATGTATTTGTACGGACGATAAAATTAAACGTTGAAAAAGAGAAGTGTTCTTAACGAATCACTGACGAGGCACGAACAGTTATATAATTAGTGTGTGTATGTGAGGGGGTGGGGTGAATTTCATTAAAAAAACGTTTATTAAAGTGTTTTTTTAATGAAGATACCAAAACTTTCATTAAAAATTTTTAGTAGAAGTTTCAGGACAATTTTTTGATGTCACAAGAATTTTATTAAAAATTTTAATGAATTTTCTTTTAATAAAAGTTTTTTGAATGAAAATTTTTTTAATGAAACTTCAATATCCCAACTAGTGACTAGTTATCATGTACAGTTATGACATTGAAGAATCCCCTCATATTTTTGTTATAATTAACTTTAAACGTTTTTCGTTTCAACAGATATATAGAACAAACATTTGTGTACAAAATGAAATGTTTCGGAAGTCTGAGCAATTCTTAATAACAGTGTTATAACAATTTTCCTGGATGGTCTAATACCAGTTATATACGTGGTATATGCCTAAGCATTCTGAATTGTTTCTTTTACGGTCATCAATTTACATATGTTGATAATTTCATAATAAACATCATTTTAGATTTATCTTTATGTTACACATATCATTCAAAATTGTTTGACAAGGTGTTGAATGTCGAGTAGGTTCTAGAAAAGTTCTGTTTTAATATTCTAAAATCTTTTTCCGGATTTCTTTATGCGTCATAAAGAAACAAAAGAAAAAGGAGAACATTTAGCGTATACAGCTAAATTTTCTCTTAAAAGTGTCTGTTACTGTGTATTTAACCATCGATAATGAGGCGACAAATAATTAAAACTTAATTATTTGACAGTGTTTATGCTGTGGAATATTTAATATAAACTATATTTATCAAGAAAATGATAATTGTGATAGTTATTCTTATAATGCCGTTCTCTGAATCATTATATAGTAGAGGTATAATCATATGTGAATGGGTTACATAGAGCAAATAACAATGAGTTAAAATTGAAAAAAATCTAAAACTTAGATACTAAAGAAATTGATGAAAAAGAGGTGTGCAGCAGCAGTGAATGGATAGAAAGATGATCAGTTTTATATAGCTTGTCCTGTCTCAAAATATTTAGTGTTAGTAATGAAGTTGATTATTAACACATATAGATCTTTGATCTTTATACATATTAATATTCTTGCGAGTTATATATAAATGATGTATAAATTTGTCCTGTCTATAGCTCACTCCTGTGGCTTGTTGAAAAACCATCTTTATTTTATTGACCACATAGTCTTCTACAAGATCTGTCTTGATTATGAATCACCGAACTTTCATTAAAACTTCTTTTGTTGAAAATTATTTTAACGAAAGATGAGTGTATTGAAAATTTTTCTTAGTGCGAACCCTGAAATTACTCTCACCATCTCTCGTCCTCATGATTACAAAACAAAAATTTCCGACTACGTCTGACATATTTATATATATATCTGAACGTGCTAAGAAAAATCTTCGGTACACGATGAAATTTCTTTTCGATAAAATAATTTTCAACAAAAGAAGTTTTAATGAAAGTTCGGTGATTCGTAATCAAGACAGATCTTGTAGAAGACTATGTGGTCAATAAAATAAAGATGGTTTTTCAACAAGCCACAGGAGTGAGCTATAGACAGGACAAATTTATACATCATTTATATATAACTCGCAAGAATATTAATATGTATAAAGATCAAAGATCTATATGTGTTAATAACCAACTTCATTACTAACACTAAATATTTTGAGACAGGACAAGCTATATAAAACTGATCATCTTTCTATCCATTCACTGCTGCTGCACACCTCTTTTTCATCAATTTCTTTAGTATCTAAGTTTTAGATTTTTTTCAATTTTAACTCATTGTTATTTGCTCCATGTAACCCATTCACATATGATTATACCTCTACTATATAATGATTCAGAGAACGGCATTATAAGAATAACTATCACAATTATCATTTTCTTAATAAATATAGTTTATATTAAATATTTTTTAGTTTTTCTACAGCATAAACGCTCTCAAATAATTACAGTGCCATGACCAAAGAAGGGGTGTAAGAGGGTGTACGCCCCTCCTGCTTTTTGAAAAAAATTTTCTCTTTAACAATCTCTTTTCACCCAAGAATTTCGTCTGAGCGCTTGCCTAGATCTAATAACCAATATAATGAAAATTTAATAAACACATGCTTTCTTCCGCTTTGTCTTCCAAAATAGTTAAGAGCAAAATTTTCCTTCCAGTTTTCTTCAATGAGAAAAAAAAGGTCAAACTAACATCAACATTATCATTTAGTTATTGTGTTGAAATTATGATGATAGATGATATTGTGTTCTAGAGTTTTCTTTCAAATAAATTTACACCACTCCTGTTGTTTTCTCTTGTCACACCCCTGAATAATAGTTCTAATGGAGGAAACTACGAATTACTGGGAGAATTCTGATTATTTCACTCCTGAGTTAGAAAAAATAAATTTTCTCAGTACAAAGCAAAATGGGAAAAAAGCGATCCGTACTTTTAAAGCTCGTTTAATGGCGGTTCTAATAGAGTACAAAAATCGGCGAAACTGTTTATGAACTTTTCACAGGGGGAGTCGAAGACGTTCATACTGGATAGACCTCTGACTTCAACCTCAATTAAACATAATTCTCATACTCAGTTTTTAATGCTGAATATGAAAAAAATACTTTCGGAAAGTTAGAAAAACGAAACAGAAAAATATATTAATTTTTTTTAAATTGAAGGGATTTTTCGAAATTTTAGATCCTTTTTTCAATTTTTCTTCTAAATTTTTCAAAAAAATTAAAAAAACACTTTTTCTTACTCAGCACGATGCGCTCTATTCAACGATGTATGAATAAACAGAAAAGAAATCTTGCTCGAATTTTGAATTGCCGGCACCTGAGAAATCTAAGAATTTTTAGCTTAAAACTATTAGAAACTTTAACCGCCTATATCCTGTACATATCGATGGTTTTTTTCTAAATTTATTTTTTATTTACAGAATTTCAGTTTCTTTCTTATGTACTTCTCATACTCAAGACATCGTAGAAGATCATAACACAAATGACAAGTGTATTAGTTAACCAAAGTCGTTCTTGTTGTTTATTGTGTAAACAGTTACGATTATTTCCTTATTCTTCAATACGTTCATTATCTTTGACCAATAAGAAGAGTACAGTTACCGTAACAGATGATTTTCGAGCATCTAAGCCAAGAGGACAAATTAAAGGTGTTGAATTGTTAAGAAATCCAGCTTTGAACAAAGTGAATATAGTTGATTGAGAAAAATTAGTTGATTTATTACAGTTAGTTTATAATTTTAGGGAATGGCATTCACGTTGGAAGAACGTCAACATATGGGGATTCATGGACTATTGCCGCCTGCAGTTCTATCACAGGATATTCAAGCAATGAGAGTAATGATTAATTTTCATCGTACACACGGCACGTATAAAATATCAATGTTTTAGATATTTTTAATATTAGTTTTTGTTGTAATTATTGTTTAGATGATTTGGATCGTTATTCTGAGTTAATGAATTTGTGTGAAAGAAATGAAAAATTATTTTATCGAGTTATTGCAGATAATTTAGAAGACTTGATACCAATTGTTTATACGCCTACAGTGGGTCTTGCATGTCAGAAATACGGTCTTGTATTTAAACGGCCAAGAGGTTTATTTATTACTATTCATGATAAAGGTCATATCTACGATATACTTTGCAATTGGACTGAGCAACATGTGAAAGTAGGATTTCTTTTTCAATTAAAATTCTTGTGAGATTGTCATTTTTTTCTGTTTAGGCAGTTGTTGTGACAGACGGAGAAAGAATTTTGGTAGGAATTTTTGTTACTCCATTTAAAAGGAAAAAATAAGATTGTTGATTTATCATTTCAGGGTTTAGGAGATCTTGGAGCATTTGGAATGGGCATACCAGTAGGAAAATTACAATTATATACTGGTTTGTACTTTTCCTTGATATTAACAAATGTCACTAAAATGTTAATTTTTTTTTAGCTATAGCTGGTATTCCTCCGCAACATTGCTTACCAGTTATGCTCGATGTGGGTACTAATAATGAAGTAAGAATTATTTTCAATATAAGTGTACAATTTCATAAGAATTCACTAATTTTTGTAGGAAATATCAAATAATCCATTGTACATTGGTTTACGGCAAAAGCGTGTAACTGGTAAAGAATACGACGAGTTCATGGATGAATTCATGGACGCTGTTGTGCAACGGTACTTGTTTCTCGGATCCAAAAAATGTGTGAGATGTAAACTAGTTCTATTTTAGATTTGGCTGGAATTGTTTAATACAATTTGAAGATTTTGCCAGTCATAATGCTTATCCTTTATTGGAAAAATATCGTCAAAATTATTGTACATTTAATGATGATATTCAAGGTACAAGATCAAATTACGCTGACAAACTTTCGATTATTAATGACTTTTCTTCTTCTAGGTACAGCCGCAGTTGTACTCGCCGGATTATTCGGTGCATTACGAATAACTGGAAAGAAGTTACATGAAAACATCTTCTTATTTGTTGGAGCTGGACAGGTGTGAATAAGAGTATTAAGAAACTTTCTATAATTTATCGTTTATTAAAAATAGGCTGCGTGTGGAATAGCTGATTTAGTTACAGCTGCAATGACAAAAGAAGGTATACCGATTGAAGAAGCAAGAAGTAAAATTTGGATGTACGATGTACATGGTTTAATTGTTGAAGTATGTTAACTCTTCTAATTATTACAAAATGAGGACTATAATTTTGCTTGTCACATCTTTTAGAGTAATATTAAAGTAAGCATTGCTATTCATAGGCGTATTAGAGAAATCTCTCCCATAAATTTTGCACAACGGGTTGGGTTCTTTTGCTTCTATACTATCACTTGATTACCGAGATTACTACCGTTCATCCAAGTGACATGTTTTTATCTTATAGATGCGGCCCCAAGGAGATATAGAAGGTCCCAAAGCGCCATATGTAAAAAAAGGCAAACCAATTAAAGATTTAGCAGCTGTTGTTGAATATGTTAAGCCAACCGTTATGATGGGTAAGACTCAGATAAAAGACAAACAAAACATTGCATATTTTAGGAGCATGTGTTTTTAGGTGCAAGTGGCGTTGGACGTTTATTTCATGAAGGTGTACTACGAAAAATGGCACAAATTAATGAAAGACCGGTTATATTTGCTTTGTCTAATCCAACAAGTCGAGCAGAATGTACTGCAAGTGACGCCTACCATGAAACAGACGTAAATATTTATCGTAGAATAATGCTAATAAATTCTCATATTAAGAATGTAACAATTATTTATTGGTCCGCATGTAAAAATAGTGAATCGAGCCGACGGGCTAAAAGCTCACTCACCAATCCCAGAGTATCTAAGTTCACGTAAAATAATCTTCTGAATTGTCAGAGAACGCCGATATGTACACAATTACTTTCAGAATTTTCTTATCACAATTTGATTAAAACTTAAATTTTTAACGCATTTTAGGGACGATGTATTTTTTCGTCTGGTTCACCATTCCGTCCAGTTGTTTATAAAGGCAAAACGTTTCATCCTGGTAAATTATATAAAATTGTTAAAGTTTTACTTATTTCACAAATCTTCTATCGTTTTGCTTGTAGGTCAAGGAAACAATGCATATATTTTTCCTGCTATTGCATTGGCCGTTGTTGCGTGTTCAGCAAGACACGTCGAAGAAGATATGTTTCTATTAGCAGCAAAAGTTAGAAGATATTTATTTTACACTCTCGACTTAACTTATAAACGGGAGGGTGACATATGAGTGCGTTCTTGTCTGAGTGAGTTCCCATGTTAGTGAGTCTCATTTGAACTGTTTCTGTCGTCACTGATTGTTATTAATTCTTAGTGGCTAGTAATATTTTATTTTAATTTCAAAAAGTTTATGAGCATTATTTTGACAATACACTTTCATTTTAATCTAACGCTTTAGTTAGACTTAGATTAAAATCATCCGTTACACGTTGTATCGTTCTATTTCAATCAGTCGCTATATAATCGGTTGTGTTTGTTGTAAAATCGACAGTTTAGGACGTCATGATTCAATATCATTATTTGTTCGTCTATCTTGACAAAAAACATTCCATACTTCAATATCATATTGCCCATTTAACCAGGTATTTGAAAAATAATGATAAAACGATTGCATTTTATGTCGAATACGTAATGGTGTCGAATCAACTACTTTATCATAGGTGGATTATACTAAATGTGTACAAAAAATAAAAGATTACTAGCCCCTTAGAATTAATAATAATCAGTGGTGACAGAAACGGTTCAAAAGTTCCAAAATATTTTCAAGAATGAGTGGTGTAATTGAAAGCACACCTAAATAAGACGCGCTAAAATAAGATACACTTCAATGAGAGGGTACTCAAATGACACGCTCTATAATGCAACACACTCAAATGAGACACTCAAGTGCAATTTCACCCTTATAAACATTGTTTTCTTTCTATTTCAGCATCTTGGCGCATTAGTGAGTCAAGAAGATCTTGATTCCGGTAGGGTTTACCCTCCAATTCCCACTATTCACGAAGTAACAATCAAAATCGCTACTAAACTTGCCGAATGGTTATATGAAACAAAGCGAGCATGGAATTATCCTGAACCGGAAGATAAAGAGGCATTTATACGAATGCAATTGTACGATACTTCTTACGAATACTTTGGGCCAAATACTTGGTATGCCACAATAAGCACAGCATTTTCATGACGAAATTGCACTTACATGTACATGTTTTAGGAAATGGCCCGCTGAAGCAACAAAACCACGAAGTGTACCAGAACTAAACGATGAAGCATTCACAGCGTCATAGAAAACAAATTGTATGTGTCACTTTTTTTCACCTGTTTTTAGATCTAAGATTTTTACATGTGTGCAATAATGTTATATGACTAGTTTCATGCTAGATGTCAAACTCATTGTACCTTATATTTTTTCAAGTTCCATATTTGTATCATTACTATTATTTTACTCACTTTAACCACTAATAATCAAGAGCGAAACAATGAAATTTAAACCATTAAGAAATATAAAAACAATATATTTTTTTGTTTCTATTTACTTTGTACATTTTTGTCAAGAAAAAAATATGTATAAAAATAGATTATATTCCATAATAAAAAATTTCTTGAAAAAACCAAAAATAATCCAATATTAATTAGCAGTCAGCAAGAAATTGTTATAATAACTTAGATTTAATGTGAATAATATCACGTTAGCTTTGTCAGAGATCTCCTTTTCAGATTATATGCCTTGGATAGGTTTGATTTCTTCTGTTGGCTGCGCCGCAATACTTTTATATTTGTTGAAAAAATGTCTAAAACAAAAATTAGTTATACGTTCAAAAACAGTTTTAATTACGGGAAGTTCTTCTGGACTTGGAGAAGCATTGGCAAGACGATTTTTTAGTGAACAATGTCAATTAATACTTGTTGCACGACGTCTCGATCGTCTTGAAAAATTACGCAATGAATTAATGGCATCAGAACCTTCATATCCTAAGCCACATTTAATTCAATTGGATTTATGTGAATTAAGTACATTGAACGATAAACTGAAAAATATTGGTTCTGTTGATATATTAATTAATAATGCGGGTCAAAGTCAACGTGGTTCTGTTATAGAAACAAAATTTGATATTGATACACAAATAATAAATTTAAATTATCTCTCGTTAGTGGCATTAACAAAAATTGTACTCTCGTCGATGACTGAAAGACGAACGGGTTGTATTGTAAATATTTCAAGTTTACAAGGATTGATCGCTGTTCCTGAACGAAGTACGTATTCAGCGAGTAAACATGCTGTACAAGCATTTAGTGATTCATTGAGAATGGAATTAGCCGAGTTAGGTTTAAATGATATTCATATCTGTGTTATTAGTCCGTCTTATATTAAAACTGAACTGGCACAACAAGCTTCGTCAGCGGCTAATAAGACGTCGAATAATATGTCATCAGCCTATGAACCATCTTATGTGGCAGAACGTATTTTAAAAGCAATTCAGTACAAAGAAACTGATGTTCTTATTTGTCCATTTCATCAACGTTTAGTGATTTGGTTGAGGTTCTTCTGGCCTTATTTGTTTTTTCGATTAATGATTATTAGAAATAAACGTTTAAAATCTAGACAAAGTAACAGATGATCAAATGGTTATATTTCTTTGTTCAACTTTTCAAAACTAACTGTTGCAAATTGAAATATACCAATGTTTTTACAACCCAGTTTCTATTTCTCTCTACTTTGTACATTTTTGTCAAGAAAAAAATATGTATAAAAATAGATTATATTCCATAATAAAAAATTTCTTGAAAAAACCAAAAATAATCCAATATTAATTAGCAGTCAGCAAGAAATTGTTATAATAACTTAGATTTAATGTGAATAATATCACGTTAGCTTTGTCAGAGATCTCCTTTTCAGATTATATGCCTTGGATAGGTTTGATTTCTTCTGTTGGCTGCGCCGCAATACTTTTATATTTGTTGAAAAAATGTCTAAAACAAAAATTAGTTATACGTTCAAAAACAGTTTTAATTACGGGAAGTTCTTCTGGACTTGGAGAAGCATTGGCAAGACGATTTTTTAGTGAATAATGTCAATTAATACTTCTTTTTTCTGTATTATGATTTAGTAAATATTGAAAGCAGAAAAAAAGTGTTTATTTGAGAAAAATATATTTTATTTATGAATTTTGAAAGTATAATCACCATTCGTCGATTGTCCTTATTGTGCTGTTATTGTTTAAAAAAATAAAAAAGATGATTCAGTTATTATAAGAAAATTTCATTGTATTCTTTTATCAGTATTAATTGCATCGTTTATTTCTACCACGTAAAATTTAATTCAGTCAAAACTAATATATCCTTTTTTCAATTTATCCATGTTAAAATTTATGGGTAAATTAAAACATTTTTTTAACATATAAAATATTAGCAAGTCATTTTTTACAGTTGACATGGTCTAATATCAATTGAAATTTAGATAATGTTGACGAGTCTAATTTTCATCTCTCTATAAAAAAAAGTACTCTACCGAACCTAAAAAGAATTTAAACTTTTGTCACCATCTATAAACTTTTTTAAGGTGTCGTACAGCAGCCTAAATCCGTCACTGGGAAAGAATTGCATGGGAGTGTGTTCCGTTAGAGTTTGGTAAGTCTCCGAAGCAATGATTTTTAAGAGCTACTACTAGTCCTTAGTGCTATCATTATTTAAAAAACGGAAAGACAACGTATAGAGCCCACAAATTTTTTGTGATTTTAGGATAATAGCCTAGCTTTTAACGAATCGTATGGTGTATGATGAGTTGGAATTCGAAGTTATTTTAGTCGAAATACAGACAAAATAATCTCAATAGACATATTTTAGGAAAAAAATATCGGTGGACATATTCCACGTAAAATGCGATTTTCTCTGTAACAAGGGAAGCTAATGAGTTGGAATTTTTACCACGTATTCTCGACAGGAAATGAAAAAAAGGGTAAAAGTTTGGACTCTAACGGATAAACTGTTTCGGAATGATAGAGCGAACAATTTTTAAAATCTCAGTGAACATTTTATAGAAAAAAACAGATTGTTTCATCCTTGATTTTCGGTTAAATAAAAAGCTCTAAAATTTTTCTTTTTTTGCCAAAATGTAGAGCTTGTTATGCTCTATCTTTCTGTCTTTTTACAACTTTTTAAGAATCGTCATTAGCATACGAATCTAGTTCTAGTCTTGATGGACAGAATTTTGCAAAATTATTCTGAAACAGATTTTTCATAGAATCAGATCCCAACCTTATTTTTTTTAAATTTAAAGTATATATTCTGAAAACTTGCTTTTCACGCTACAAGAAAGTCTAATAAACTTTTAGAACAACTTTAAATAAATGAGAAAAAAAAGTTGATTCCTTCTCCATACGACAACCACTCGTACAATGGCTAGTAATTTACTCATATAAATATTATATATTACATACACTAGCATTAAATTTTTTTATATCAAAATTATCTTTGTCAGAATATATTTACTGCTGAAAAATTATTCCTTCCACTGTTCTTTGCAATCTTATTTTATGTATGGTTATTGTTAATTTTAGTTCACTCCGTAATGCCCAAATGTTAAATACATGCCTGCAAAGATTTATTTTTAACAAAACTAAGTCGGCTTGAACTCGAGATGAAAAACTCGTGAAATGTGAGAAAAGGACTCGAATCATTTTTTTGAACAATTCGTTTTGTATTTCATTTACAAGCCTTCTTACCATAAAGACACAAACAAACAAACCGTGAGAGATGGATGACCTTTATCAATATAAAAATACACTACTTAAAATTAGAATTTGGGGTTGTATCTAAAAGATATCATGCCATACACGACTGTGAACCTCACATGTAGAAAAATAAAAGGCAAAAATAAAATATATTGTGCAGAACGAAGTAAATACGACTCGGGTCAGAACGAAATAATATGACTCATGACAAAATGACTCGAGTCAGACCCGTGATAAAATGACTCGAACTCAAAAAATGGCGGACTCGCTTAGCTTTGATGAGATACTGTATAAATACCTAAATATACTGATTGAATAACCACTTGCTGAAAAATTTTCATCAAGGTACCTGTACACGTTTCAATTAATGGTTTTGTTTTGCGTGTACATATGCTATTAAACAAAACAAGATACTTAGACGGATATCTAAAAAGTACTTCAATGTACACAATTACCAAAACACTTTCGTTTTTTTTCTTAGTTACTTGTAACATTATCGGCGGCGACGTACGCGTTTAGGTTACTTGGACTCAACAGCTCGATTAGAATAGAAAACCGTTACTCATATTTCATTTTCTACACAATTTACGAACTACTGGCCATACTTGTGTCTAATCTGATCGCAAGCAAGTCAAGTATTCAACCTTGAAAGGATTGTAAAGGATTAAATTGCTAGAATATTTCTTCAACATTACTAATCACATATCGAGTAGACTTATAAGCAATTAACTACATTCCATTTTCATTTACTGATATAAGGTTGAAATATGCCAGATCAAGTTGTGCAAGATTAAAGATAAAAATTTATTTAGAAATATAGTTCTCAATTAAAAACTTTGATTCATGGTTTATACTTCTACATTTTTGAATCTCATATATTTTTACTATGACTAAATTCAACTGATTCTACATGATAAGGTATCTAACATACATATGTCGACTAGTCAGTAGTTATCGATCATACCATTCAAAATCGTATCTTATTCAACTCTTTGATCATTTAGTGGAAAATTGTAGTTTTTTGTTTCATCATATTTTTAATTATTCAGTAAATAAAGGGATATTCTAAGATAGACAATCTTCATCGACAATCAATGCAATATGTTAGTTTGTCGAGTGGTGATAAAAAAATTAAATATGAACTCAAATAGACGTTATCGTGAGTGGTTGGTTAATTAATATGAGAGGAACAAACATTACAGCCATGCGATAGAAATTCTCAAATGGAGAATGAACTACCTATACAGAAAGGGTAAACTGATCGTGTGATGAGTATAATCAGAGGATGTCACTTTGTTAACATGTGTTTTATAAAAAATATTTGTGCAACTTCTAAATAGACTCAAATGAATATTAAATGGTTAAAATAAAATATGATCGGTAAAAAGTCCGTGACTAAATTCTTTGCATTTGAATTCAAAGTTCAAGTGTTCAATTTTATCAACTATATAGTGTTTTCTTTTGTACTTTGCTTTTTTCTGTTCTATGTTTATCTTCTCATTCACTCAATCTCAATTCTGATGGACGTGAAAAGAACAACAGAAGCCTTGTTGTTCGAACAATTGATTATATTTCAATTTCTCATTTTTTCATATTATGATTTTTCTGTCAGATATGACATTTTATCAAATAGAGAAAGAGACAAGAGCAAATGTCTTAACGGGAACGATTTGTTTTTCAAACAAATTCTTTGCAATTACTTGTATACCTAAAGTTTATTACAAAACGTAAGACGGTTGTGAAAAAAGAATCTTGAAAAACTATCAAGTTAAAATAAAACAATGACGAGTGTAGCGTGCATTATACTAACATCTGTTATATGTCAAGAAATGAAAATCCTTTAGATTGTGAGTATCTATCGCATACATATATTTGTCTTTTTATTATTTATTATTTGTTTGTACATTATCACAGGTAAGAATGCTTAGAAAATTTGTTTCAACAGAAAAGAAAACCACAGTATAATTATAATAATAATAACAAAAAACCAAACCAGAAAAAAAAACTTGAAAAATGTGTTACTCGTTGTCTACTTCGAGAATATACATGTGAATATAAATATATATACGATTTAAGGTATTTTTGTTTTTCCAATAATACAAAAACATTTTTCCACTCATTTTTCAGATCAACAATATAGCTATAGCTAATAAAGATTCGGGAATCGCAAAAAAACCAACAAAACACGTAATATTCACTGTTTAGAGCAAAAAAAAGAATACCAAACCAAATGAACAGAGTTAATATCGCGCTAGAGAGTGCATCAAGCAAAGCATACCTTATGTATAGGATAAAAAATTTTCTTGCACGTATCAATGTTTTCTTGCACATAGTCAAAAATAAACAAGAAAATTTAGAATGATGTCTTCCTCTCCCTTCTGGTTTATAAATATAAGACACCATTGTAATGCTAAACAAGAAAGAAAAGTGAGATCATTTACGTGGTTTACATTTGTTTATGTTCTTATTTAAAAAATGAAAACTGAAAGTAGTAAACAAAGACAAAAGGTTTATAATTCTATTTATATATAGTATTGAGAATAATAAGAATAAAATGGTGTGTGTGTGTATGTGTGTGTGAGAGAGTGTATATGCGTGTGAGACAGAGAGAGCAGTATGTATTAGTAATCATAAGTAACAATAGAACAATGTAGTACGTGTTTTAAGTAAAAAACAAACTGGAAAGAGAGAAAAAACAAACAATCTACATGTTGTTTATTTATTGAATGCCGATACAACTGCCCACATGACTTCCATTTTTGGATCATATTTACCACATTCCTGATCGGGATCTAAATCTAATAATTCCCGGACATGTTTCATAGCTACTTCATAGTCCTCGTCTGATAGAGCTGTAAATGCATTTTCAAGGACATCTAAATGAGAAAAAGAAAAAAACAATATTAACTTTTCTAAATAATGATACCTGTTCACATACCACTAGCATGAGCTAAATAGATTAAAGCTAACATTCGACGTTCCATACGACGAGGATCATTTGGCCAACGTGACAATACACAATCTTGAACACGTTTAATTAATTTTATTTTATGAACACTATCATTGAGTGGATGAGTTGTCATATCAAATAAAAAAAAATTTTGTTTTTCAGTACTGCAAATGCCTTTGTCTACCAAATTTTTTGCCAAACGTTCACGAACATTGCGTAACTGATATTTTAATTTTAGAGGATTCCATGTCTCACCTAGAAATCATAAATAAAAGGATTTGAAAAAAATCATCAACAGAAACTGTACATTTTGCTTTTGATAGAATGTTTACATTGAGGATAAAAAAAGATCGCACTATTAATGTAGTCAACGCCTATTAACCAAACAATGTCTTGAAACAAAAAATATCAGTTTAATCAAGATTGATATTGGGTATTAAATTAGAGACAGTTATCTTATGAAAAAGAAGAAAAAAAGATTTGCATTTTTAATAGGAATCCAGCATTTAAGGAGATATCTCTTTCCACATAAGATATCCCATGTACGGCACATTTGTTCGTCTCAGCGCGTCAATAAAGAGGAAAGACAACAGAAAGATATGCATGTGTAAAAAGAGATATTCCCCTATTTGCTAGTTCTCTAATAATATTTCTACAAGATGATTTCATGAAATTCATGCCACATTTACCATGACTTTATGCGCATATTCTGAAATCTGTCTTAAATGAAAGTTCCATGGGTAGTGTTAACATAAACCAAGTTAAAAACATTGATATCATTATGATTCAAATAAAAACTTTCAAAAGGCGAAGTCATAAAAATTTCGATAGGTATTTGGAATGGTCTAGTTTTAAATGAAACAACAATCGAATTATTTGTTTTAAAATTGGATAGAGAAAAAAGAACAAACCCAAGAGATTATTTTGAATTGATTTTGAGATTATTCGACATTGTTGTACTGTTTACAAAAAAAGACTAAACATTAGCTGTTGGAAAACCTCGTTAAAATTCAGACAAGACGGGTCGAACGCACCATGAGGCGGTCCAATGACTTTAGCATGTAATTGATGATAAAATGAGGACTCGCTATAACACGTAAAAAATTCATTAAAATCTTATGGAATTTATACGATTTAGCAACTCTATGGTTTCTGAACTGCGGCAGTGAATCCTTGTACAAGAAAATTGAGAAAAAACAACTGGTATCGAAGATTCAGCATTAGCTTATCTTGGAAAACTTGATATTCATAGAGAAAGACAAAAACAAACAGCACCAACTGTATCAACAACGGATGATTCTGTGCCAAAGAAAAAATGATAATTTATTCACCTGATATCTTCATGACTTAACGAGGTAATGGTTGAGAGAGAACTTTTCAGGATTCAATCCTGCGAACAGTTGTTTTATCTGACGAGACAAAGGAGTGGCGCGAAAGGTTAATATTAACCAACTTGTTGCAAAAAAACTTACCACTAAGATATTCAATCCAACTTTGAGCAGTTTCAGCTGGCTGTGTTTCTTTAACATGTCTTAAAGCTTCATCTAATAAAACGTCGCCTGTTGCCGTGTCTTCTAATAATATCACTTTGCGATTTGATAACGCACGACGACGAACGCCAGTTTTTTCTAATTCAACACGTCCACGAAATCCAAGTTCTATAATTAAATTTGAACTTCGTGTAAATTAAAATGTTATTCTCGGAGGTGCAGAATAACCCATTTACTCCCAGGACCGTCGGGGGTAAAATTCTATGATTTGCTATAGGTTTTCTGAATTTCACAGAATAGCGAATTACAGAAGTTTTGCTGAAAAATAACTATAGAAGAAAATATTCTGGCACTAGTAGAAAACTTTTCGTTCTTAGGAGTAGATTCAGCACTTCTAGATATTCGTGGCATACCCGTTAATATACAGCCACGTAAACCGGATGAGATGCAATCGTTCCAGAATGATGTGTAGCCCTTTAAAAAGAAAATCATCAAACAAATTACCGCACATGTTCAAAAATTTAAAATTATACTTCGCGATCTTTCAATCCTAATAGCAGAACTTCTTCCATCAATGTGAGACGCGTTTCTTTATCATCATTATCTTGCTCAACGTTATCCTCTCGACTATTCGACGAGAAAGTAGCACCAGTTTCTTCAGCTGGATTCGTTGATGATTTACTCGCAACTGATCTATTTCGAAGAGTGAGCGTCGTCATGATCTTAACAACGATTATCGATAATTTCACTGGAAGATAAGATTAACTAAAAAGAGAAAAAAACAAACACGATCTAATCTTATTTATTTCAAAAAACTTATTCTCAAGGATCGTACTGCGTCTTTTTCCAGGATGAAAGAATCAATTGCTAAGAAACTAAAGTTATCGCCACTAGGCCTTAATGGAATAGTAGTAGTATTTTTTCATACTCCTTTATTCTAACAGACTACACATGCATTTCGTTGACATTCTATGACTAACCGTAATATAAATAAACCGGCTTAAGAGCCCTGGATGATATACGCGAAGTCAAAAGTGCAACTGATCTGGAGAAGACATCTTTTAGTATATTAGTCTATTTAGCAAAACCGTTACCAAGGGTGTTTATATATCGCTTTGTTTAACAAACACACGAAAGGAAAATATTACTTAATAAGAGTCGAAAAATATTTGAAACACAGACGCGCGCACAATAGAGAAATATATCTTTTGAATCGTTATTATTAAGTTAACTTAATGACTAGTGTAATTGATTGTAGTTTTTTAGCGATCATGTATCGAGCGAATCGAAATCGTTTGAATAATTTAAGCAAAGAGAAACCATTTTTGAATTGATAAAAGCATACACCAAATAAGAAGTATTTAGACGATAACTATGAGATAATGAGATGATTTAAGACAAAAAAATCCTTCATATTGTTTTGAATATTAACCTCTCAACGATACAAAAACGCTCCCCATGTCTTTTTTTAAGCAGCCGTAGCTTGCACACATGCGCGACATCTGCCAGTTTTAAATGAAAGTAGACATATCACAGCTGTTACGTAACCGGCGATTGACGTTTTCAGTCGACGGACACTCCATAGAGTTATTGAGAGAATAACATCTGTTATCAGATCATTAATCTCTTTCAACTCATTGGCAAGGAGTTTCAATATCCAAGGACCTAAAAATTATATATAACAGAAAAACACGCAAGAAAAATTTGGTCGACAAGTATTGCCATTATGCGAGACGTTTTTGATTGTTGATTTTCATTTTGAATTGTTTCTTTGTTCAAAATTTAATAAATGAATACATGAGCTTGGTAGTCTTCTCTTTTTATGAACGTTTTCCTGTTGTTTACAGCGAAATACTATTGGTACAGTGGGCATCCAGGCGGACATTTAGCAAACAATCAAAAGTGCGGTTTTTTAAAATTAAATAGTGGCCAATATACTTTGATAGATGGGCTATCTAATGGCATAAAATTTTTGCTTCGAACGTGGAATTTGTGGGTAAAAAATGTTGAAGAAAAAATACCTTGTATACTTCGTGACGTCTACCCTAGAGAACGTACTTGATGCAAGTACTTGATTACTTTCTAAGTACTTGTCAATGATCGAAATACTTGCCTTATTGCTAAGAAGTACTTCCTGAAAGTACCTTGCAGGTAAGGACACGTACTTACAAGTGTCTGTACTTCTGGAAAAAAGGCAAGTACCGGCTTCATTACGCAGACGAAGTACTTAGTCCAAGTACTTGGCCCCAAGTACGTTCTCTAGGGTATGTAAAATCAATTTTTTATCGAACTGAATTACACGTAAATTTTCGAAATGTGTTATTTGGAATCAGGACGCTTCTAGTTATCCATTAGTTAAAAAACAGTTCGTCTCAGATCAAGTCTTTTAGCGAAAGAAGTTTTTTCTCAATTTAGGCGATTTTTCCGAGGGCTATGTTCAGTGTAATGAGTTTCTGGAATTTTCCGAAGCTCTAAATTCATTGAAAATTTCACAGAATGTGCATCGACATAGCCTGAATCTGTGATGATAGCAGTTTTTCTCCTAGACCGAGATAGAGGTTTTCTAGAAAACCGTCGGTTTTTCTGATATTTTTCGTTTCCTTTAGCTTAGAAACACTTTTATTGAAAACTAACATCATATTTGGAATCAGCGCAGAAAACTGCATCGAATCATGTATCTTGAGTTAATTTTGGAAGAGAAAAATTGACGGCATGGGTCCCCTTAAGAATGATTGCATGAGAAAAACATCTGCTTCACACAGAAGCATGCTCAATTACCATCTTGGATTTTTTTCAAAACAATTCCATTGTGTAGAGCATGTGTGAAAACCTACAAATCCAAATTCTTAGCCTTAGTGTACACTTTCTTCCTGGTATACACGATTTTTTCCACACGAGCAAAATTCGAGAACTTATCTTTAAAAAAATTGTAAATTCTTGATTTCCCGCGAACTATAAGAGATGGAACCACGGTTTTTTCAGGGTATATAGTACTCAACGTCTACTATATAATGATATACGAATATTATGTATCTGTCTCATCCATCACTCTCATTCATAAGGACGAAAAGGAGTTCTGAGGCACACTTTTGTGACGTACAATTCTCCGAGGTTTGTATCTACAATGAAGTCGGACTAGTTACAATGGATAGTACTCACAGTGTACTATCTAGAACTATTGTCAAAAGTTTGGTGATGTTTAATTTGGTACAGAAAAATTTTCATCGAAAGTTGATGAAAAGGATGGGTCTGCATACGGTTATATATTTATATAGAAAATTATATGGGGATGATCAATTTGACTGGTACCCCAACATTCATTTATTTGTGCCACTTCATCTACGCATTAGCAAAATCTGATTTTTTTACCAGTTATACTGCATATATAACGCTACTGATCTATCACTATTTGAAATCTGTATATCACTAGAAATGAGAATTATTAAGTACATCTTTGTATTTATTGTGTTAAATGTGTTTCACATGGTATATGTTAACGTATACCATTCCTGCTAACAGGATTAAAACAAAACCAAAGATTAGTAGGATAGTTTCATTCTCAAACAGTTAATGAGAAGATACAACTTATGATTTTGTTTATCTATGAATAGGACGTTTATTTAAGTTCAAATTACATAAAGCAGAAACGACTTGTACGATTTTAGTTATTTTATGAAAATCATCAATAGCTCTTCTATAAACACCACCAAGAATTGTATAAGTTTTAAGACGTGTTTTAAACTCACAGATAGAACGAGAATGACTTGACTTAAATATAACACTAGAATAGAATAGGTAAAATATATACCGAGTACAAGATGTAAACAAATACCATGTGAAGCACACTTAACACAATAAATACAAAGATGTACTTAATAATTCTCATTTCTAGTGATATATAGATTTCAAATAGTGATAGATCAGTAGCATTATATATGCAGTATAACTGGTAAAAAAATCAGATTTTGCTAATGCGTAGATGAAGTGGCACAAATAAATGAATGTTGGGGTACCAGTTAAATTGATCACCCCCATATATTTTTCAAAAATATACCATTCGATAGCCCTTGAAATTCTCTACAACCTGAACTTGTTAGAATATCTAGACAGGTGCGTCCAGCCATCAAAGATATGCGAAAGAAGCGTTCGTGTGTTATATATGCAATACAGCGTTTAATAATCATAAGAACTCCATTGTTTTTGATTTTTCAGTAAAAGCTGGAACAATCTGAATACTGATTTGAATAGCCCGAAGATTTTTCTATCACATGAAGTGTATATTGCCATTTTATGAGAAAATTCGATAGTAGGATTTCTTGAAAATCTGAAAGCTAGAAAATCAAGAATTTGGTTTTTGCTCAGCAAATTTTGCAAACCGTACAGTCTTATAGAGCAAATAATTCTAAACAAAACAAGATGTCTCCCAGCTGTCTATGACGCTTTTTTAACGGAATGTGTTTGTTATTTTCCCGGAAAATTTCATGCTTTGCATCTTTTGTAAATCGACTCCAGTTCATGCTCTACACAATGGAATTGGTTTGAAAAAAATCCAAGATGGTCATTGATCATGTGTAGGCGTGGCTCTCTTGCAGTGACTTCTAAAGTAATTTCTGTCGAAAAAAAAACCTTTTTCGATTTCATTTGTTTTATTTTTATCGACATTTGAATAAACGACAGTAGCATTGAGTCAAAATAATCGCTTTTCGACTTTGAAAATCACATGTCCGGTCGGTCTATAGAAAAATGCCCGCTGTGCTCCTTTCGTGAGCTCGAAGTTGTACTATTCATAGTTAGGTGCAATATCATATTTTTGTTATTATCAAAGAGAAGGTAAGTTACAGATTATTAGTTCCCTGATCCCGATGATATTACTTGCATAGAGACAGACATTCATTTTACATGACATTTAACTGACAGATACGAAAATACAGTTCTATTTCGAAGATAATAAAGCCTAATGATGAATTGCTCAGGGTTGTCATAATGATATATGCTTGAAGTTATAAAGCCTCGACCTTATTAAAAGAGATAAAATTATAGCTTCCAGTTGTCAAGCTTAAATTAGTCTTCGTACGACGTATTTCAATAGAATTTTTCAGATGATGGTCATTTCAACTACTTGATCTGCCCTGAATACAACAAGATTTTACAGACATTCTCGAGCCTTTGAATTCATTGTACAAACTGGTCAAATCTTGATGCGTTTGAACTGAATACTTTAGATATTTCTAATATTGGTAATATTAGTAATGTAGAACGTAGTTACTTCATTACATGAAATCGAATTCCAGTTTAATTGGTATGTACTAACTTTTACTCGATCGGTGCGAAATGTTCACAGAAAAGTTCCTAATAATCAGTTCATGCGCAACATATTATCTTGCTTTCTCAATCACCAGTCTTTTTTTGGTGATGATTGCTATGATTACTCGGCTATAGTTTGACTAGTTAATTAGTGAAGTGTTACGGAGCATTTAATAAGATCTATTTTATTTCGTATTTTTCAATGGGTATATCGAATTTAAGGCACTCGACGGGCGCTGACAGTAGGGAGTGAGCGTCGCTGAGTCGTATTGATGTTAGGACGCGAGCGTCATAGGGGCACGGAATGCTCTGTACGACACTAGAGAGCAATTTCTGTTGACTTGACTACTGATGAATGAGCATTGTAATGACGATTGTGAATATCAATGTGTTGGTATCGTTGCGCTCTACTGTCATGCACCCTACCGTCTGGTGATCCTAGTCCATTGTGCTGATTGAAATTGATCGAATTTAGATTTTTATTAGTATTATATCTCTCTATTATAGTCATGTACCTTTCTTGTTTGGAGTTGAAAATGGCCAATGGTGCCCGTATTGTTATGCGAAAAACGGTATATGTCATATTTCTACAATTTTCCATTGTTTTTACATGAAGTAGCGATAAAAAGCAGATCCCGAACATTAGAGTATTATGCAGTATCACGAAAGACTGGAATTTATTTCTAATGGTTGATTTTTTATTTTTAATCATTTGCTATTGTTCTTCAAAATTGAGTAAATGATAGATGAAAATTTGAAAGATTATGCTTATCACACGCTCTTGCTGTACCTTCACGGTTTAATACTGTTATTATACAGGAATCATGACAGGACCATATATGAAGAAGAGATTGATTCCTACTGTGATACCTTTAGTTTTTATTACATAAGATGATTACAAATAGCACCAACGAACGTGATGATTATATGATAACAAAATCGTTAAATAATTTTAATTGTCATTTGCTAATCTGTCTAAGAAGCAATTCGCATGGCCGTTCTTTGACTAACTTTTGACTGGCGACAACTAGAGATCTGCGTAACTTATCTTAGACTATTTCCATGCAACACTTGCACAAAATCTTAAATCATTAAAATCAGTTCGAAACACTTCAGAAAATCAAAACAAACTCTATTTTATTTGCTTTACATCCTCGTGTGATTAAAAGTGAGAAAAGAATCTGTGTAA